CATCTCTGCGTTGTGATTGGCCCGCCAGATTTAGGGCCTGGGGCATTGATCGAGGCTAGACCAACTCGTAGGCAAAAATTATTTTGGCCGCAGGCGGGTGGGGCAAGTTTACTAGGCTAGTAGTTTTTTGCCTTCTGCCGTAGATACCCTTTTAAATATACACCTTCCTACAGTGTGATGATGCTATATACTGTAGGTAGCATTACAACATTGAGTTATTTTACTGTTCTCCCATTTGCATCAACAACCCCTCTTCCAAAGATGCGAGCTCTGACTTCCCACAAGGTGCCCAGCCCTTCAGGTGTTTCTCTGATTATTGCCCCTCTTCTCCAGCCTGTCTGTTTTGATGGATGGACGATTCTTTATAGGTTTGCTGTGACTCTTTTTTCTGATGAAAAGCTTGATAATTTGCTTTAAAGGTACACTATGCAACCGGTGTTGATTTTCCAGCGAGGCTCCCCCCAGAGGGCGAAAGTAAAAGTGCACTGTCGTAAATATGCTCAGCTGTTCTCCTGGTTTCTCCGTCAAGCCAGGCGCGGTTGTTTTGAGCTTAGCAGACAGGAGAACGCAACGAATCACCATGTCTACTGCGGTAAGCGGGCTTTCGCTGTTTTCTCGCTGGTTCCGCCATGATAACTGCACAAATATCGCCACTGCGCTAGCAACGAGCATGCCTTTCACTGGGGGTGTGTAGCNATGCAATCAACTGGTTTCCTTAGATAGAAAACTTTGAATCAGTTTGACTGGATGATCTGGTTGAACTGTAAAGTGCCTTGAGATTACATGTGTTGTGAATTGGCGCTATATAGATAAACTGAATTGAATTAAATTGAATGAGTAGTTGGTAGATCAGTAACTCAGTGCCTAAGTAGCCTTCCTACCAAATACATTTGTTACTTGAGTATTTTTTTTACTTTTGCTTTAGTATAAATATGATGAGCAGTGCTACTCTTACTTGAGTACAGTTTTTGGGTATTCCACACCTTCTACATGCATTTAGATTTAAAAAAAAGATTCATGACTAGGTATCTTGAGGAGTCTTGTGGAGTTTGCTATTTAGAGCTTCTCTGTCCATATATAACTAAAGTAAGACCTGTTTCCAGGGACTCAGTCAATGCCTTCTGCAGAGGAGTTGAACTAACTTGGTTTTTTGTTCATAAATGATGTTAGGATGGAGCAGGAGATGGATAGATGAACTGGGCCTTGGCTGTAGTAATGCAGGAACTGCTCATGTCTGTCAGGTTGAGGAAAGAGTTGAGCCAAAAAGCAAAGCTCTTGACGTAAACTGGTCTGTCTACTTTCCAACCCACACAAACTGCTATGAGAAAGGGATTATGACTGAAAGATTGAGATCCCAAATACAAGCGACTACAAATAGCTCTCTCTGCAGGCTGGTTGGGCTCAGCTTTAAAGGCAGGGTGAGGAGCTTGGAGAAGAGCCGCTGCTCCTCTGCATCGAAATGGATGCAGCCAAGGTGGTTCGAGCATCTGCCTCTGATTAGGTTGTCTCCTGGGCACCTTCCATTGGTGGTTTCCTGGAAGGAGAAACATTTTTTTTTTTTTTTATTAAACATTCAGCACTTTTCTACTCTCTAGTTAAACCACTTGTTGTAACGCATGTCTCCTTCAGGTTAATTTAAAAACTCAGCTACCAACTGACTTTCATCTGATATAACTCACTTTAATCACCGCTGCTAAATCCTACAGTTTCAATAAACCCAGTCGCAATGCTATTGTTTTCATCACCAGTATAATAGGGTGGTGCAGCCTCAAAGTTTAGCATGGTAAAAAAAAAAAAACCTCGCCACAAACGGTTAACAGTTTCTGAAAATGTGGGTTTTGATCATCAGCAGGCACCACAGATTTTCCTTCCTTTTTTTGCCAGAATCCTGTGACCCCCTAAATGTTGGAGTGGAAAGACAGCGTATCAAAACAAGCACATCATTCTGTGCATTTGCTCCATGACGCACCTTTATTTCTTCCATATGAAACATGCACAGGACACAAGGGGGGGGGTTGATAACAAAGTGGGCGAACATTACCACACAGAGACTCACCCACTCTTTCTAAGAGGGTATAAACACCATAAATGATCCATTTAAGCTCACACAGTAGACACCTCTTATTCATTGTTTTGGCATTTTCTCTTTCAAGTGTTGTAGTGTAATGAAAAAAGAGGAAAAACTACAAAAGAGAAGGAAAAAAAACTTTAAATTCTCAACAGAAAAGAGCAGAGTTGCTCCCCTAATCAAGCCAGCGTCCTTAAATGAACCTGTTTGTGTGCGCCAGCCCTTCCCGTTTTGGGCACCAGCCCTGAACCCCCCCCTTACACCGTCTTCAGTTCACAGAAATTTCGCAAAAGCTTTATCTCAGTTTTCAGCCTCGGTTCTTTCATCCTTTCATTTACATTCAGGACTGCTCTCTGCGTCCGGTGTGAGTGTTTCTGTGTGTGTTTGCCGCTGACTCGGACATTTGTTTGGCAGCAGAGATGCAAAGGGATGCTGTTAACGCTGGAGAAGGAAAAAAAAAAAATCCAGTCTTTTTGGATCACCTTGTGTTAACATGTAAACGCTGTTCCAAATGAGGTGATATAACTCAGTTTGAAACCAAGAATTTCACTCTGTGCAAGTTAACTCTTAAAACAACGCTGGACAGGACAGATTCCTCATTTATTCTCCAGGAATCTTTTTTAGAATGAACAGTTTGGTTACTGTACTTCCTCAGAGTCTTTGGTTTTGACTTTTTTATGCAGCTTCAATACAGTGCCAAATTATTTGCAGGAAAATCATCATTAAGCCACTTATCTTGAACAACAAATTAGATAAGAATGAAAAGAAAATCCCAGGCATGAATGAGAGACCTTGCTAAGAAACGTGGTGCTTAGCAGTCTTGCCTTTGGCTTCGTATCTCACTCCTTACACTTTTGAGATTGCTTGTCCTTCCCTGAACTTTGAGACTATGTTTCATGACCAGAAAAACTACTGTCAGTGGATAGAGGATGAGCTCTGCCTAAGCCAGAGGGGTTCAAATCTCTTGGAGTCTTGTTTACGACTGAAAAATGGTGATGCCCTTCAGGGATGGAGGCGTTCTGGTCTGAAGAAATCCACTGTGAAACTAAAACTCTTGTTTTTGCTAATTCATCTACATCGAAACCCTTTGATACAGGCTCACAAGGTGAGAGACCCAATCCTCTATAGGGAGCTGGATATAAAAGCAATTCCCCTTCACAATAAGGGGAGTCGGTTAAAGTTGCTTTTAGCATTTGTGTCTACTGACCCTAACTGCTTTTTTTTTTTCTTTTTTTTTTTTATACTTGTAGACATTATTAGATGCTTTTCAGTAGACATTTTTTGTGTTACTACTTTGCACCAAGAGCTGTCAAAGGAGGACGTTCACATCTGGCCAAGATGCTGGAGGGAATCTTTCTTTACAGGTTTTCACAGGACAAGGAGACTCTAAACTTCTTGCTACCACCCTGCTTCTGGAGAAAATGATGTGTGGGTTTTCCTCCTGGACATTACGACCCTTCCTTGGCCAAATCGATTCATGGAAGGTCCCCCAGAGCATTAGCATTTTACCTCACAGTCCAAAGACATGAAGGGTGAGTTAACTGGTGAGCTAACCCTCACTCAATTGCTTTTAGGTGGTGATACATGGTCATTTGTCCTATATGTCTATTTTTTTGTTATGGTACCAAACTGGCCAAGGCGTGTCAACCGAGACCTTAATAATAAGGGAGGTAACAGAGGAACACTTTGCATAAAGTCAATAATAAATTGAATGATCGTAAAACTGTATATGGTAAGGAAAAGTCTAATTTTCTATTTTTTAAATAAAAAAAAAGTACATTAAATACATTTAACTGTTGTTGAATCATTAACTGTTGATTGTCTTGGAAACATGCAACCCCTCCAGTAAGTAGCGTCTCCTTCCAGCCATTAGAAGGGAGCAAAATTAGGCCTTTCTTTGGTCATTGAGTTCACCGAGGCGGAGGTTTCCAAACAGAAAGCTGTGGGGGGTGTGGGGCGGCTGAAGGTTGTGGTGAGTGGGTTCAAAAGTCCTGCAATCAAAAGAAGATGGGGGAGGACTTGGAAACGACACAGTTCAGATAACTAGGCATTACTGAATCAGGGGGGGAAGGTAAGGTCAGCTCTCCCCCAGACGCCCTTCCTGCTCCTCTTCATCAGCAAATATCTGTACAGTGAGCAAGCTCATCATTTCCAGCAGGCAGCCAGACTGCAGAAACAGTGAAATCTAGATCGACCATTTTAGTCTTTATCACATCGCTGACTGGATGCTAGCAGTCACCTGGAAAGGCAGCTTTGTCCTTCAGATTGGAGGAGCATCCCCCCCCCCCATTGTATTCAATGTTAGAACAGACAGCTCCTGTCAATGATGCAATCCACCTGGGAGGCAAACAGAGATGCTGCTTGGTTCACATGGTGGTTCTGAGCTGCAGATCTGAATGAGAGAATGACTCCAAAAGGGGGCATGCATTCAAGAACTTCAAAGTGGAGATGTTGAAAGTAGAGCGGTGTCATATAAAGTATGTATAATTGTTATTTTTTATTCATTGAACTAATTTGTGGTGTGGCAGCATCTTGCTGTGGGAGTATTTCTCTTCAGCAGGGAGTGGATGGCGCCAAAAAGAACAATTCACATTTTGGTCTCCAGCTGGTAGAGTTTTCATAATGATTCCTTAGTGTTATATTAATTTACAAGAAAAAACTAAAACATATGTATGAATCTTTGGGTTTAGATAAGCTGAAAATGTATTGAGGCACAAAGTCAGAAGGATCCAGGCTTTACTTTTTTTGCTGCTGAGTTTCATGGCACCAAATTACGCACAACCAATAAAAGCGAAACTATCCGCTCTGGTTTGTCTTTGCCCTCACACCCCTCAGCTCTCATGGGATAAGAAGGAACCTGGTGTTCTGTGAACTGCTGCTGCTGTCTGAGAAATATCAAGACTCTCATCCCGTTCGCAGAAAGAATAAAAAAAAAAAGAGGGGAGAAATGACGTTATTTGACCATGTGCCCAAAATCCTTAATGAATAACTTAGAACGAGGAGGAGGCAAACGCTGCCCCAGCTGTTTCCTGTTGAAAATGTCTGTGTAATATAGATAAATGTGAGGGATTTTCTCTCTAAATCCGTCTCCTGTTCGCTAAATCTCACTTCTCCAAAACGAGCCTGCGCAATGGAACAAAGTGGGAATATTGAGATGTGACATTGCCCCGCATCTCGTCCTCTTTCTTGCCCCGATTTCTTTTTTTTAATGACTTCAAACAAGTTGCTCATTTTCGCCGGGCTTCTTTGTCTTTTTGCGGAGATCCGCGGTGATGTCTAGTGCTGCTTCCTCTCAGTGGCATTTATGTGATGTCCTCAAGGTAACTTGGCCGATTTTACATTGTCACCTTGCTCCCTGCTTGCACTCAGCATCCTTCCGACTTTAAACTGGATGATTATACTGACCAGCTTTTCAAACGCTTGCAAAACCTGGATCTGTTTATTAGAGTTTTAATTAAGTTTGCATGCATTTTTGATTGTTTCCTGCAGAATAATATCACTTGAAATGAGTCAATTTTGCCATTAATTGATTATTGTTGCATTATTTTGCGATTTTGACACCTCTGCACCTCCATGCGTAATGCGCTGTTTTTCTCCAGAATGCCTGAAAACTTTTACCTTAATTACTGCTGAGTTTGCATTATTAAAGCTTCAATATTCCACAAGAAAACCAAGGGAAAGCTTAATCTGAGGCGCTCCAGGGCGTTTAGGGCTGTGCGGTTCTGATGTGGATGAATTTATTCGTTTTTATTATGCGCATTTTGGCCCAGTCCGCTCTCTCCGCTGGCTTTGGCGGGATAACTCTTTTCCATTAAAGATTTTGGATCGGAAAGATCCCCTGGCAGCTCCTTTCTGCATCCTTTATTTCTGAATTTCGAAGCGCTTTTCGTGCGTAATAACGCGCTGACAGCTTTGGCAAAGGCAGACGGTGGCCTGCTTGTTAATGATATATATGATGAATGAATGTTCCTGATTAATGTGGATTGCTGCTAACTCAATGCTGTATGTTGGCTGAGGTATAGGGTGATAAACGGGGGGAAGGTGTGTTTTTAATTTGGACCTGCACAGCCCTCCTGCAGCACCACGACTCATTGCCAGTGGCGCTACTAAGAAAAGGGGCTGGTGGGGGGGCAATACCCATCCCTATAAATCTGTAAGAGCCCAGTTTAACTAATGCATTTGAATAAATCAACTTATTAAAGCTTAATTTAAATGAGAAATTTCAATTAAAATGACTCTTTCTGTGCTATGGCAACATCAATCCAGTTCCCTGTTGAGTTAAGATGTAGCATAAAAACTACAGTATTGACATTCTAATACAGAGCTGTTATGGTTTAAACATTCACTGAAAGTTTTACCATGCAGAAGAAACTCTTTGCTAAGGAGGTTGGCTTTGCAGATTTTGGAAAACTGTGGAAGAAGAAAAATGTATTGCACAACTTGGCTTCTTTTTTTCCCCTTTTTTGTTTACTGTTTAAATTAAATTTTGGACATAGATTTACTCTTTGATGATAATATATTGAACCTATGTGCATAAATTATTACATGCAATGAAAATATATTTTCATCTCAATAAACGGACTTTGGATCATGGATCGACAGTCATAGCCAGGGTGGCATGGTGCTGTTTGCTCTGGTTAAGGATTGACTTGGCACAATCAATGCAACAGTTGCAGCCCATATCCTAATAGCCTTTGTAATGGCCGTCAAAACCACTAATTTAACTGGTTATCTGCACCAAACCTTTAAGTAGGCTTTGGTTGACTGGGTTGCTTGTGCACCATTTCCCCCCATATTTTTTCCTTCCACTCAACTTTCCATTAAAATGCTTGGCAACAACAGCAATAACTCTGTGATCATTCCTCTTTTTAACAGTAATGGTTAAATGTTGTTGATATTGATAGTAGTGTTGCACCGATATGATACCATTATCAGCCTGGGCCCCGATCCAGCACTAAAATGGTGGTATCGGTATCGGCGAGTACCAACCAATAGGGCACCGATACCATCTTGAGAGCCAAAAGTACTATTGTCACCCATTCCAGGTAGGCAATAAAAAGTTCTACTGGATTCACTTTGTAATATTCTTTTTCCTGCTTGACAAAACCATGATGGCAATTATTTTACATCCAAGTAGAATGCAGTTCTTCATATATATATATATACACACATCAATTTCAAACAGATGGTATCAGTAGGGTATTGGTATCAGCCAATACTGCACACCCAGGTATCAGGTATCGGTATCGGGGCCAAAAAATCGGTGCAACACTAATTCTTAAAGGCAGAATGCTGGATAATTGTCAATGTCTTCCCTATGATTGCGTCAGGCATAAACGCATTATTGCATAAGAAACTAATTTCTCAGAAAAAATACAACCAAACAAACAAGAGAATATATTTTTTATTAACTGTTAACCATGTATATTTAGATATTTAGATATTTATATGATATTTAGATTTAATGACATTAACTTGCTGCCAGCTTCTTTTGCAGCTTCCATATATGACAGCAGCTCAATAAAACACCTGAAATTTTGTATTTCTGCTTGCATAAAACTGCACTTCCTATCCAGCCACAACACCTGAAAACTTTCTAGATGCGCCCCACCCATAGAAAATAAAAGTCTGGATTTGACCCCCAAGTCCACAATGTTAATATATCCGCTGACAATCAGTAACTCCTTCCCCATCAGTGAACACAGTTAAGCTCTTCCTCTCTGTGTGCAGGGTGCGATGTGCTGTATCTCCTGTAGCCACACCCTCTCACTACTGCTGTGCATCCTCACCCTGACTCCTACAGCAACAGGGGCGGGCCCGGAGACCCTATGCGGGGCGGAGCTGGTCGACACGCTGCAGTTTGTCTGTGGAGAGAGGGGCTTTTATTTCAGTAAGTGCACCTTTTTATTTATTCATAAAGGCTGGCTGTGTGAGTCTCAGAGCTCTCCACCTCCAGGAGGCTCATAAATAAAGCAGCAGCCAGTTTGGCATCTTGTCTTGGCTTCCCCTGCATTAATGTTTCTTCTTTAGTTCACTCCTTTTTTTCACTTTCAATGCTATGCTCCAACTGTTTGGCTCAAACAGAGATAAAATATGGTTCGATGTTTGGTGATTATTGTCGGTGGTGAATTTCACAGAAAAAAAAGGGGGCTTTAAGTGGAACTTGGCTGACGGTCTGAAAGAAAAAGGAGCAACTGGATGTTACTCTGAAAGTTTTTCCTTTTTTTCCATCAGAGCAAGAAAAGCATTCAAAGAAACCCAAAGACTCAGAGGAATTAGATGGCTAATTTTTCCATTAATTCTGAAATAGGGCAGCATGTGTGGTATTAAGTATCTTATAAAAGAATTCATGCCTCATACTTAGATATCTTTTAAAAAGCATTAACTCTGTTGTATGTGATAAACCAACACAAAGTAAAAATTGATTTAAAACCACCTTTTTCTGCAGTTTTAGATGGAAATCTGTGAAGAAAGTCTCCACCACCTTTTACACAAATCTTCTCTGTGAAACCAATTAGACTTTATTCTTATTGTGGTATTACATTTGGTATCTAATACCATTTCTCATAATATCTTCTGAATAGATTACGTCTCTACTGGCGTGCCTCAGGGTTATTTGGTCCCCTTTTTTTTTCATTCTTTACATGATCCCGGTTGGCCACATATTCCACAAATACATCATCAATTTTTCTTGTTAAGCAGACACCAAGTTCCAATTTTATCCAACCCCAATTCCTCCTTACCATCTAACTCCTTTTCAAATTGTCTTAAGGACATTAGATCATGATTTTCCTCTAATTTTTTTAATCCTTAACATAAACCTTAAACTTTCATAAACTCCAACTTTTTCCAAGTTCAGCATAAGAACACCTAACCTCATTCCTTCAACATCTTCATAGGTTCCAAATGGAAACGAAGAGATCTTCTCTCATATCTTCGTCTGCCTCTCATCTTATTCAATAATTCAATTCAGTTTATTTATAAAGCGCCAATTCCAACCACAAGTCATCTCAAGGCACTTTACAGTTCACCAAATCATCCAGTCAAATTGATACAAAGTTTTCTGTCTACTGAAAACCAGTTGATTGCATCGACTCATTGACTCAAGGGCAATCCCTCATTCCAAGCATGCTTGTAGCAACAGTGGAGAGAAAAAAACTCCCTTTTAACAGGAAGAAACCTCCAGCAGAACCAGACTCAGTGTGAGCGGCCATCTGCTGAGGCCGACTGGGGTTCAAGGAGACAGAAGCAGAGATACAAAAGGCAACTGTAAAAGGCGGGCCCGTACAGGAAACACACAGCCAGGCAGACGAACTCTGAGCCAGCTCCAATGTCAGAGGATGAAGAGAGCAAATCGAGTTAGTCACAGTCAGAGAAACAGGACTACACTGGAAAAACAGGCCAATCTCGAAAATCTATACATTTATTACAAATTTGTAACAAATCCAGACTAAAACTATTATTGTAGCCTTTGTCGTCTTATCACCATGGGAACCAAAGCTGTCAGTGTCTCTGCCCCTCAGCTCCAGAGATTAAAGGTGTTATTTAGTCTGGCCCTGATGAATGAGACTTTGGAAGATTGTTGATGAAAACAACCCGTTGTTTTTCAAACCATGTCTGTGCCCATTGGCCAACGCTCTGACCAATGAGCGCAACTGACTGTGACGTAGGAAGTGCGACAGGAAGCTGGTGGAGAAGTGTAAACAAACAGCCTGTCGGTAAAACGGTGAATACATCCTTCTCAAAACTGAATGAGCGTAGAGAAAGTAAAGAAATAATTAAATTTATTGTCATTACACTGTCACAAGTACAGAGCAACGAAATGAATTCTCTGCATTTAACCCATCCTCTTGGGGAGCAGTGGGCTGCCATTTTGTGGCTCCCAGGGAGCAGTGTGGGGTTAAGGGTCTTACTCAGGGACTCAGAGTGGCAGTCTGTGGGAGGGGGGTTTGAAAACCCCAAGTCTAATCCTTCCAAAGCTGAGTCAAAAATCGGCATCAGAACCAGCGGTCCTTCACACATGACTATGCTGCGTTTAGCCCGGGCTGCCATTAGCCTGGGCGCTCCACTAGTTGCTGCAGTCCTCTCAACTTTTTAATTACGCATTCAATCGGTAAATGGACCATATAGTGACGCTTTAAAGTATAATATTCTCGCCTCAAATTATCTTAAAACTTACATTAATTGAACAACAGCAACAGAAGGAGAACTTTTATCTTTAAATGGAGCACTCCATTGAAAGCGGCTGCTGCCGCAGTGGATGCTACTGTTCAATAGTTGTTGCCATCTTCCTTGTCGTGCTTTCTGTGTTATGCAGCGTCACACAGCTTTGTTGTCACGCCCTCAAAACCCCGCCCGCTTTGCATTCAGACATTCAAAACACATCTCTGCGTTGTGATTGGCCCGCCAGATGTAGGGCCTGGGGCATTGATCCAGGCTAGACCAACTCGCAGGCAAAAATTATTTTGGCCGCAGGCGGGTGGGGTTAGTTTACTAGGCTAGTAGTTTATGTCTTCTGCTGTAGATACCCTTTTAAATATACAACTCCCTACAGTTTGATGATGCTATATATACTGTAGCTAGCATTTTCATCAACAACCCTTTTCTTCCAAAGATCCGAGCTCTGACTTCCCAGATCAATCAAACAATGACAGATTGTGATAAGAAGTAGGTGCCCAGCCCTTCAGGTGTTTCTCTGATTATTGCTTATCTTCTCCAGCCTGTCTGTTTTGATGAATGGACGATTCTTCATAGGTTTGCTGTGACTCTTTTCTTCTGATGACAAGCTTGATATTTTGCTTTAAAACCAGTTTTTAACTTTATCTGTATGATTCTGTTTGTGTTCTTATATTTATTCAAATTTCACCAAGTCCTTCACAGATCAAGTGAATATTTACTGACTTTTCAGCAATGGATTTTGATTTAGAGGGATTACAGTAAAGGGGGCTGAATCATGGTCTATCACATAAAATCTAATTGAAAACATTGACATCTAAAGTTTTGGTGTCCCAATAAGAAACGGTTAGTGTTATGGCTACTTTTGCGTCACATTAGTATAATGAAAATGTTTCACCAGGGGGTTTGTGCTTCTCAGGGCAGGTATAATAATTTTTTGTATGTCAAACATAAGCACTTTGCCGTGCATTAGCAGTAGGTAAGAGTTGAAGTTTAAATACATCATTCACATTTCCTTGGCAGTCCTCCAGCTTTTAGATTGAATTGCATTTAATGTCTGGGTAAGAATCACATCTCCAACAAAACCCAATTCTGGTCAGGAACTTATTGTCCCTCTGATTCATGTGCAGTTTTGACCTAACGATCCATTATAAATGGTTTGGTTCAGGCCCAAACTTATGAAAGATTTTCCACATGTGGTAGACTTTGTCAGCTGCCAGTTTCAAGCAGAATGGGAAAGGAAGATATAACATTTCTCAGAAAGATCAGCATCTATAGCACACTTTCAGTTCCTTTCTGTTCCAGTTATTGATTGCTTTCACCTTAGGCTGAACCAGGAATGGTTTGAAAATACAAGAGAACCCGTTGACTGATGGGAAACTAAGAGCCAAAAGGGGGGCCCGTTTTTTGAGTCGCAGCCCATAACCAAGCACAGGCTATACAGTAGTGGTAGCTACTGTATTCTGAAGGGAAGGGAAAGCTTCTCACAACCTGAAATACAGATGAGCATATTTTATTGCCATTATCAATTAAAAATGACTTTTGCAGCAGCTATTTTAACAAAAAGCTTCAGTTTTTAACCAGTTAAAACAGCCTTTTTTATAACTTTGCATGCAGACATCCTTATTTACCGGGTATCAGAAACCACGTTAACCATTGTTTGTCTTAGAAACAGCATGTTGGGCGCAGTCATGACGTAATGAGCATAAATCATCTTCATATTGAATTTCAGCAGGCAATACATTCTTTCTACTGATGCAGACAGCTTAAACAAATCACCATCATTGAAAAAAACCTCCCTATAGTATTTCTAGTTTAAATGTCTATGACAGTTCTAATGTGAATTCACTTTTCTGGCTTTAGGAGTAAGTACCGCCGATTGCAATCCTGCAATTATCTGAAACTGTTCCGATACTGCAAAAATCAGTCGATAAACAACTATATGACTTTTATGTTTCTACTTTTCTAACTTCCTCTATGAGTAAGCTGTGCAACCACCATTTGATGGTTGGTGAAACACCATGCCTTGTATTTATATTTAAATTACTCCCTTAATTACTGCAATAGATGACATTTATAACGTTTGTAAACTAACATAAATGGTTCTCTGCATGAATTGTTCTCCAAAATAATAAGCTGGATTTGAATGATCCTGCAACTTCTAAAGCAATGGCAACTTTTTTAACTCAAGGCTTGTGTTGTAGTGTTAATGCGATGATTTTATTTTGAAGCCAAGTCCACAGCTGTGCTAACACTAATTAAAACTAACAACCAGACATGTTCACAAGTCATTTTTTGCAAGTCCAAGTCAAGTCTCAAGTCTTGAGAAGGCCTGTCACAGTTATCAATTAATCGCACAATAACTTCTAATCACTTGATTAATTAAAATAAGTGCAATAATTTGTGTGCTTGCTTGTTTCTCCTTGTGTTTTCATCTCCGTCCCTGAGATGGTATAGCTTAAAGGTTACTATTATATCTATGGAATGATCATTATCTTGAACTGGTAAATGAAAAATACAATTTAAAAAAGCACACACGCAATTTTTTTTTCCAGTTAAATTTTGCATCTTTATTTTTTTTCTTTCAAAAACAACAATTTTCTTAAAGTATTTACCTGACATTTGTGGTAACAACTTTTTCTAGTTTTAGGAGTATATGTCTGCTCTTTTGAAAATGAGGGCTGTGGGGAAAAAAAAACAATCACAATCCTGCTT